ATGCCCGAGCACGACGTACACAAGACTGACGAATTCGTTCGTACACACCAGGGTTTCCTCGAATCATCTGGCATTCATTCTGCACACGTTCCCAGAGGTCGTCTTCATTGTTTATGGATGCTGCATAAACGACGGAGTTCAAGTGACCCCACAGATAAAAGTCCAATGGAGTCAGGTCCGGCGACCTCGGTGGCCATGCTACTGGGCCACCACGCCCAATCCATCGCTGAGGGTACTGTTCATTGAGATGATATCTGACGCGATGGGAGAAGTGTGCTGCTGCTCTCCCGTGCATAAACCACATTTTTCTTCTTGTATTTAGTGGTACATCTTCAAGGAAACGTGGCAAGTGTCTTCTTAAGAATCACCGATATGAAGGTCCTCTTAGACGCGACGGAAGCATGTACGGACCAATAAGCATGTCGCCAAAAATTCCTGTCCAAACGTTAATTGAAAATCTTTGCTGGAAGCTGGATTCACTTTGATAAAAAGTCAATTCATTGAAAGTTATTTTTGATTATTATTTCGAAAATGAAACATTTGCGACCGAATGTTCATAGTAACATTTTCTCTTATTTTTGATCCTGGAACACGCACACGAAGTTTGTAAACATACTTCTGACTCATCCTGTATACAAATTCCTATTTATTTAAATATTTCTCTGAAACACGCAATATAGAATCCAATGCCGAGCTATAGACCACCTGGTTCCGTAAAAAAAGAGGAATTTATAGCTTAGTCTAGCGACTACCAGCACTCTGGCATTAAGGATTCATTTTACATTTAACTAGCGTGGTAAGCTTATGGAGTTCTGTAAACTTGTTTCTACAGATTTATATTGTACATGGCTAGAAAGAAGACACGCGTATTGAAATTTTAGAGCCAGAATAACGAACTTTGACTCTAAAGTTTTGTTATAAAATTTAGGCTAACATAATCCAGAAGAAATTCAAAATTCTTAAATGACGTCTTGCTTAGCAATTAACAAACAGTTAAAAACAAATATATACGTAATACACTTTGTTAGAAGTTTCGTAGTTACAAACGAGATGAATCGCCTTGAATGCGAACTGTCGTGTCCTGACTAGACATATATTCGTGAGATACCCGGTTCGCATCTCAAAATCTCTTTTCTGATTTGTGATATCCCTCAGTGTATCAGCAATTGTACCCTGAAATGGTCAATGGTCATTTCCATCCATAAATTTATTTGGTTACTATTTCTTACAATCTTCCCCATTTTTCTGTGTTAAGCAACCTCTGTTTCAAACGGTGTCGTTAAATGGATTATCATTTATGGTCCATCTGTGTAGCATTCCGTATAAACAGTAATTATAACAGGCCTTTGTAAATAGTATATATTTCAACCCTCCCATCTGGTAGTGAAATCTGACAATATCGGAGTTACTGATATACAATTTAAGACATGGGCCTCAGAGTATAAATAGAACATCTCCACAAGGAACCGTGATATTATGAAGCAAAGACCCAGCTTTTATTGACTGGTTTGGGATCTTCTATTGGCATGGAGGAACGAATGTCAAACTTAGAGGCCTTTTATAAAAATAAATATGTATTGTAATTGAGGATCGGAAATTCGTTACTATATACAAAAAGCATTGTCACATAAGCACTGTGATACTAAGCAAACGATGTTTACGCCGTTCAGTGATACACGTTTTGGACTACAGAGAGAAATAGCTATACCGTTTTGACAGCGTATAGAAAAAACATATTTCCCGAATTAATGGTGAAGTGCAAGCGGACTGAACTAAACAATGACGACAGTTGGATAAACTATTTAAAACTGAAACAGGGACATGCGAACAAATGATCCAACCCTTTGACAGCTTTATGATGATTATGTTCCACTGTGTAAGAAAACGGGAAATAGAATATACCAAAGCAGGTCTTTGAGAAAAAGAGTACATGAAAATAGATCTTTAGAAATTATGTATGAGGGTGTGGACTGCAATCATCTGGCTTAGGATGGGCCTGTATTTCAGTCCTGGGCTTTTGTAAACATGGTAATTAACCTTCAGCTGCGATAACAAGCGAGGAATTTCTTCGCTATTTGAACAACTACATATGGTATTCTCAAGAAGGACTCCGCTCCACGGAGATAGTTTAACCTTGGGTTCCCAAAACCTCTGTCAGCCGTCTTTGTCGCCACTTCTGTTCTTGTTGGAAATTCGACTACGGCTGGGAGCGACACGAAAGAGCTCTATTGTTGAGTACAGAGGCCATGCATTCTATAGAACTGACTCACATTATGTATGACTTTCCTCCCTCATGACTCAAAACTGCAGCGTATAAGCACATATTACGGAACTGATTAATTTTTCTCTAAAACTGCTTCCACGGAACAGCTGATAGTCAATCGTCTCGTCCAGAAATTTTCCACATTTATGGATCCGGAAGTTGAAAATTTGAGTTCACAAAAACCTGGCAGTGCTCGCTATTCCGAACTAGTTGAATCCCCTCCAGATCCTCACACGTAACTTGTTTGAGAGCCATTAAAACTACCATGTACGCTTGGGTTCCCAAAAAGTATTTTCTCTTCTCTTCACGTCTTCGTGCTAAAACGTTGTACATGCATTTTATGTGCCCCATGCTTGATACATGTACCATTTCATGTGCTGTGGCTTGATAAGCCTAAAAACATTAAGAGAAGAATAAAAATGATGATCCTCACAATTAAAATTTGTCTATTCACCTGTTAGAGTAAGATATTCTTCTCACCATTCTAATTTTTAATTGTTAATTGTATACCGAAGAAATAGAAGTTACGATTAGTTCCGTTCTAGCTGTTCATATTGAATTTAGCCTTAAGAAAATTCGGAATCAGTGCTGTTTCGTTATCATTATAACTATGAATAAGTTATCTGCAGGACAATAATCATTACAGATTTCTGCTTGGGCATAAATAACAAAAATTGCTTAGAGAGGCGTATGAACGGACATGGTCTAAACGAAAATAGTACTGAAGCGAATTGTATCAATCCATGCAAGATGGGAAGTATCTCGATTGATTGGTTGATGGCATCTAGATGGACTATGCTCTGCGAAGTTTAATTTATTAA